ACTCCAGCTCACAATAGGCCCACACCAGCTGGGCTCACACCGGCTGACACTGGCTGACACTGGGCTCACACGAGTTCACACCGGGCTCACACCAGTTCACACCAGACTCATACAAGACTCACACTGGCTCACACTGGGCTCACATCAGCTCACAGCGGGCTCATACCAGCTGGGCTCACACCGGCTTACATTGTGCTGACGCCAGCTGGGCTCACACCAGCTCACACACACTGACCTCCCGCTGATCCCTTCAGACTTCGGGTGTGAACGGTGATCCTCCTGGTGCCCTTCTCGTCGCCAGCCTGGACCTTTAGTGAGTTGCTTCTCATGAATTGAACAGTGCCTCGTCTCACACGGGCCGGGACCTCCCCAGCCCTCCCTGCACGGGGGGCTCCTGGGGTCAACAGCCCAGCCCCTGCACACCCACACCCTCATCCTCCCAACAGCCCCACGAAGTCAGTGCTGACATGGCCACTGGGTGCTGGGGCCAAAGCCAGGGTCCTTCTGGCCCCGGGTCCTGACTGTGCCCCACCATCCACTCTGAAGCAGGACCTGCCTGGACCAGTCCCCCTGGACTCCCGGGTTTGGCGAGTGACCGACCCCCCTGGAGCGGCAGTTCTGGGACAGAGCAGGGAGACCTGGAGAGGGGTGGGTGGCCAGAAGGGGGGCCGGGAGCCACGTCGCGTGCTCTTTGGTCTTGGCTTCCTGGCTCGCTTGTCACGGACCGCATGGGTGACCAAAAAGACGCGGGAGTTCGGGCTTAAACAGCCCCGTGGATGGGGGGACATTCTGCAGTGGGAACACAGGACAGGGAGCAGACCAGGCGCCTTGGGGCGCGGCCCTGGAAGTGGGGCCAGTGCTTACCCGGTTCCTGTTTATCTCCCCAGTGTCTCCCTTGCCTCCCTGAGGGCCTTGGGGGACAAAGTCAGTGTGGTATTGAATGAATGAACGGATGAACGAATGAACAAATGGGGGTATGGAGGGATGGCTGGATGAGGGCAGAGGCTGCTGGGCACAGAGCAGGCAAGGACAGGCAAGAAGACAGACTGTGAGGTCAGGGCATGGAGGGGAAAACCGTGAA